ACATTTCAACTTGAATTAAAAACTCGAATCAACGAACTAAATAGGCTCTAAGTCTCATATATATTTGTATGTGTATATATATATATATATGAACGAGTTTTTAATAGTTATGTTTCTATTGATAGTCACTTTTAAATATAAAAATTTAATAACGTGACGTGATAAGAATCTAGTTTTATTAATTGTCATTAATTTTTTGATTAATTATCTAATTTATTACAACTATCGGATTAATATTTTACGGTTAAAATAATAACACTCATTGATAGATAAATATTGAAATAACCATTATAAAATCACAATAATTACGCAATTAATATTATTAATATGTGTGTGTGACTGCTGGAGAGTCTATCACTGGCTACCGGTTGAAATTGATCCAGCATCATCATTTTCTCTGATTAATTTTTAATAACTACATAAAAATCCTACAATAGGCTAGATCTAATCAATACTACAATGATAGTAATTACGTATATGACACGCTATAACAGTGTTATTCTGATCAATCATGATCAGAGATAGATGTTATCAAGAAATGCTGAGGTTGTTCATATACTTTGTGAGCATATGATAAAAGCACTTTTTATAGTGGTGAAGATTATTTTACTCAACTAATAGAAAATATGTTTAGTCATCGACGGATTATTTTTTTACGGTAAAATTTAGAGTAAGAACGATTTTGTGTAAAGGTGTACAAATTTAATCATTAAAAAAATAATTTAACTGTTAAAAATAACGCACGTCCTACCATAAAAGTTTTCATATGAGTATTGATAAGCAACGTGATCTTGATTGGCTGGGGTCCACATATAATGCCATCATCTTGGACTTTTCGACGCAGTAGCTAGCTAGTTAGGGTTTTCAGTACAGTTGTTAGAATGATCTACACGACAATTTGGTTTCATGGTATTATAACAAAATGATCAACACCACATGGGAAACTATTGACCTTTACAAAAGGATTGATTTTCAAAGTGTGGATATTCTTTAAGTTTGGCTCGTTCACTTCGCAGATTTGAGTTTTCAATTCAAGTTGAGATGTGACATTTTATAAAAACTTTCACTGTAACAGAAAAAGTTAAATATGACATTTTTTGAAAATTTTTTACTATAGAAACTTAAAACTGAAAACTCAAATCGGAGAAATGAACGAGGCCGGCTAAAGGATCTTTATTTTTGTAAGGTTGCAATTATATCCCATTTGGCCGGCCGTCATGTGTCACACTATTACTTTTCATGCTTCCACTTGATGTTAGGACCAATTAAATTCAATTCCGTGGCATTAATACCAGTGCAGGCCATTCTGGAGGATAAATTATATTGGAAGATAATAGATATGCTCTTTGATTTCTCGTTTTGGATAAGTTTTTGGTTTTGGTGCCTGATCTCTCTCTCTCGGCTCTGAATCGGAACTACCTAACGTTATCCTTTATATACGCATCTGTTACGTATAATTAAGTAGGCGTACTGTAGAGAGGGGCAAAATAAAGAAAATTATCATGACCACAAAGAAATTTAATACTGCGGTTATTTCTAATTTCTAAGTAAATTTTTACCTGCATATGTACCTTGTATTTATAAGTGTTTGAGCCAATTAATTGCTTGCATATATACTAATGTATTGGCATAATGAGATCATGCTAGTGATCCAATTTTTATTTTTTTTTCTTTCCCCTTTTAGTGGATGATGATGTATGTTGGTTTAGCAATTCTTTGAGAAGCATGTCAAAAGTTTAACTAGCTGTGCCTAATATTGCCATACTCTTAAAAATTAGGGTAAACAAATTTAAAATCCTTTTTTTAATAACTTTTCGGTCCTTTTACAAGCAAAAAAAAAAAAAAAAGAAAAAAAAAGAAAAAGGTCCTCTGGATAACGATGGGCTAAATGTTAAATATCTTCCTAAAAGTTGCCATAACACATATATATCGTTGTCAATATTAGTTCATACCCCCATGACAAGCCCATGAAAAGCTCTTGTTTTTGCAGCGTATCCAAACAGGTAAGTTAAGTCATGCATGCTTTTTGATGGGAAAAGTAGCTTTATGGGAAAAGTGTAACGAATAATTAACAATTTGTAGGCAGACAATACAAAAAGAGCAGCAGCAAACGGATGATATTGATCGATGAAGAAAGAGAGGCAAAATCCAGGTTACGTTTGAGTTAAAACATGCTGATTCTCACGAGATTATAGAAAGGGTGCGTTTAGAATTCGTTTCAAAATAATTTTATTTTCTGTATGAAAATAGAAATGAAAACGTTTTCAATCTCAGACATAAATTATTTTTAAAAATACGTTTAGTAATTTTATCGAGAGATTGTTAAAAAATCCATTAATGTCTTTCTCTCTGCTCGAGAGAGGAGAAAACAGAAATAAAAAATGAAAACTATTAAAAATTATTTTTCATTTCTCTCTCATTTTACACTAAACCAAAAAATCATTTTTATTTTTATTTTTTTTCTTTAATTGTGCCGAATGTCGTTTCTCTCCCATTTTCATTTCTTATTTCTCAAAAAATGTGAAAAACAAAAATAAAAATAAAAACAACTCCAAATACAGCCAAAGACAATTAGGTTCCAACTTATAATAATTACATAAATAACTCTTTAACAGTACCTTTGATTTTTACCAAACCCATATATATATATATATATAATGCCATAATGTCTAATTCCCACTTGTGAAGGCAAGATATATAATGGTTTTTATCGGATCAATATGATACTGATATATCTCTTATAGTTATAGCTCAATGTCAATGTCATACGCATGTGGCTTATATTTGTGCTGTAAAATATCGAGCTCTTTGCGATAATAATTAGTTCTTGAAAACCTCTTTTTTCCTTTTGCACGTTCTCATAGCCTCAGAGGTCCAATATCCTTGTATATATATATATATATATATATATATATATATCCTTTCGGCAGTGGGTCCAAAACAGTAAATAGTTGTGTGTAGCTGCAATATATTTGTGGAAAATCCATAATTTACTTCGACATAGAGTAACCTAAATAAATGATGATGTCGAAAACTTTCAATCTAATAAACCTCTATATATATATATATATATAAACACAAAAATGGTTCTTCACATCTTTACTTTTTACAGAGAAAACTTTGACTACTGTTAGTTCTAAATTAATGTCCTAACTAAATAATGCGTGTGTGTCTGTATAAACGAATCTTCAATGGTTACGTCTCTATCAGTGGTTATCATTAAATATAAAAATCTGATGACGCGGCGTGATAAAAATTCAATTCCATTAATTGTCATAAATTTTTTTTGTCAACTATATAATTTATTATATCCGTCAGATTAATATCTTACGGCTAAAATAATAATACTTATTAATGAATAAATATTATAGTAACCATTAAAACCACATCCATATATATATATATAATCTTTTTCATATGTTTTATAGTTTTCACCTTTATTTTTAAATTGAGGCATGCATTCAGTTAGATCTCGTTAATATATGGCGGTGAGAATTATGCCACTCGAATTGTGATATAGTTGTGGTTACATATTTTGTTTTCCTTATTTTGTGCACTTTTCTATATATTTTTTTTCCCAATATTTGTAGCTCCATAAAAGCCTGAATATCTCGAAGGCTTAGGCATATATATGGAGACCAATATATATCCACAATAGAATTATTATCCAATAAATTCTAGATTAGAGGGAGTACAATTTTGAAAGATCCAAAGATAAAGAATTTTGAAATAATATTGAAGTGGATAGTGCACTGATGATCAACAACCGGACTACTGCTCAAAACATAACCTGACCGATTGAAAAAAAAAAAAGAAAGAGAAAAACACTGCGAACTTTGCGAAAATACAACCTTATAATAAAGTTAGAGTTCAAAGTAGGAATAGAGTTAAATTGAGTGAATAATTATGTTTTCTCACAGACTGCTTCTTTGTTTCTTTACAGCTCCTTTTATTATTATTTTATTTTTAGTTCTGTTTGGTCGGTTTTCATTATTATTTAAATGCTCTTCAGATTAGGTTTGTAAAGACTTCTTTTCCTTTTTAATAATTTTTTTTTTCTTGGATTTTGTGCATACTAATAAAAAAAAATTGCACGAAAACTCCTTCCTATTATTTTTTAGCCAAACCAATTGCTTAGCTGTTTTTTTTTTTTTTCTCCTAATGAATTTTTTGTTATAATAGGAAGAATCTATTAAAACCCCATTCAATCTTCATTTTGTGAGTAGAGCGTCAATCAAAAAAATATATAATGTGCCTGTATGTGCGCTTTCCACTAGTAAGCACTTCTATAATTTGCTCGTACTTATAAAAAATTATATGATCAATAAAAAATGATAAATATTACTCTGAAAATTGGGACATAGTGTCCCTCAATATTGTTTGCACGGGAACAGTTATTTCAACACTAAATATCAACCGGTAAAAAAACAAATAAATAAAGTTCAGAGATTTATTTTATTTTATTTTTTTGTATAGAAAAGCTTGAAGAAGGGACAACCAGCCTGAGTATATCCTCTTGAGCATTAAAATGGTTCACCAAATATACAAGAATGTTCACTGAAGGCCTGTTTAGTTCGTTGATTCGAGTTTTTAATTTGAGATGAGATGTGACTTTATGTGAGAGCTTTTTATTATAGTAAACAAATTATATGTGACTGTTTTTTAGAACTTTTTACTGTAGGAAAATTTAAATTTTAAATTTAAATTGGTGAAATGAACGGGGCTGAAAGTCCTGCTGTCGGGTCTTATTCCTGAATGAAGAGTGTGTCAGTAGCCAACTTTACCGAATATGCATGTAGCGGTAAGGATACATGTGAGCAATGTTCCAGAAATTTTACGTAAATGGAGTATTAGATTGAGAGGCACAAACATTCAAATTCAAAACGTAAAGAGGACACCCAATACTCAAAATGTTTGACTAGAAAATCACTACAATAGTCCATACCACTGTCGATTCTAAAGCTTAGAAAAATTAATTAATTAGATGTAAAACCTTTAAGCTTTAAACAACTCTTATCATTATATATAAAGTATAAACAATAAAACTCCATTCGTTATTTATCATGAGCTAATTAGACACCATTGATCTCATTTTCTTTCTAGTTAATTCTAAATTGACGATCTACAATATATATATATATATATATATGTATGTATTTGTAACTTCAAGCCTTAACCGGGCTCATCTCCACATCTACATAGGCCTTCTGGTCGTCCATTTCCACACCACTAGCACTGCCCTTGTAACGATACCTCTTAGCACAGTAGAGGAAGCTCACAAGGTTAAGGACTCCCACTAACGCAATGAGAAAATAAAAGTAATCCAATCTCCCACGATTGATGTCGTTTGTCAACCAATCAGGTCGGTGCTTTGTCCCCGTGAAGCTATGAACAAGAGTCACCATGAGCGTACTGATGTAGCTCGCGCCGGCGAAAGAGCACGAGAAAAGCGCGTTCCCGACACTCCTCATGTTCTCGGGAAACTGTCGGTTGAAGAACTCGATTTGTCCGATGATGTTGAAGGCCTCGCAGAGCCCCATCAAAATCAGCTGAGGACTTAGCCAAAAAACCGACATTTCCGAATAATGGGGATTGTTCGCGGAAGTTCTCCTTTCCTTTTCGATCAATCCAGCAACAACCATCGAGAGAGTAGAGAATACGATCCCGATTCCCATCCTCTGGAGGAGCGTGATGCCGGTGTCGTGGCCGGTGATTCTGCGGAGGGCGGGGACGAGGAAGCGGTCGTAGAAGGGGAGGAAGAGGGCGATGGTGAGTAGGGAGATGACGCTGATTGAGCCTGCGGGGACGAGGAAGGTGGGGCCCAGGTGGCGGTCCATCTTGAGGGCTTGAGAGATCGTGAACGTCCATTGCTGAACCATGGAGGTGAGGCTTATCATGCCACAGACCCAGATTGGGGTGATTCTGACCAGACATTTCACTTCTTCGACCTGTTGAATGCTGCAGAGTCTCCACTTGTTTGTTGGAGTGCTGTTTGGTTGGAGATCGTTTTCCGTTATAACCGCAGCTTTGTCGAGAAATCTATGGGAAACAAATATTTTGATCATGAACAAGTGCAATATTAGGATTCTGTATAAGTGCAAACATAAATGTACTTATGTCAATTGATCATATTGTTTTACATATAGTAAGTTTTCTAATTAAGAACATTAATCATGACCACTCCCTAAAAAAACGAAAATTAGAGAATGCCTCCCGAGAGTAAATGAGCATAAAGATTTAAGCTCTTTCTTGAATACTATAATTAATTACATTTCTGTGTTTATTTTTTTTTCTACAATATTAATTTAAGAGGCATGCACGGAATTTTATTATTTTTAAGAATTTTTTTTAAAAGATTATGCGCATGTTGTAGGAATGGCGTTAAAGTACTATATTATTATGGAACATAATTATAAATCCTTTGACACTTTTTATTGATCCATTTAATTAGTTGGTACATTTTGTAACATTTTGCTTTGGTAGTTTAAAACTCCTGTTTCTTTTTTCTAACTTAGACACTTCTCTATTAAATTAATAATATATATAATAATAGTTATTAGTTAGAAAAGGAATTTCACAGAAAATGGATTCCCATTCCCGCAATATATTTTAGTGTCTTCATCTGTTTTGTTGGGACAGTGATGTTTAGCTTGTATACGTAGCAACAGCAAAATCATTAGGCAAACAACACCAAAAGCCTACAAGATATGTTTTCTATAGCAAATTATCTATGTATAGGACCCACGTCCACTTCACTGAATCCTATCTAAATTAAACTTTGGTCAATGTATATGATACTAGTTCTACTATAATTAAGCAGCAATATTGTCTTATCATACTAGCACATATATATAACCTAGCTAAATATGTAATACAAAGTATGACCACAAACGTCTAAGCAATATCCTAGTAATCCGTAGGAATATTATTGTTCTTTATTATCATGTAAGCCAGCTAAATCATATATTCTCTATTATAAAATAAATCATATATATCATGCTGGCCACCAAATCTTAATAATTAGAAATTATTTCAACGTCAAAGGATTCATGATGTCGTGAAGCTTTCAACTTTTTTTTTTTAAAAAAAATCCACAAAATAATTAACTAATAATAAATTATGATCTACCAAAATCTTATAACCTAGCTACCATATATATGTATGTATGTATATATGTATGTATGTATGTATGTATGTATATATATATATAAGTACCTGTACTGATTGGTGCGAGATAGTTTTGACAAAACACTTCCCTTCACAGGAGGCTCATAGAAGACCACCTTATGATCATGATGATCATCAGCTCCAATTATATCATCCGTCGGATCAAGAATAATCCGACGCTTCTTGTAAGCCGCTACAAAAACTTGCAAAATGCTCGAGAACATGCTTCCCTCGGGCTTTGCATGATTGTAAAGACTCGTCCCAATGAAGAAGAAAGCAATTGAGCAGGCCATGAGAATCGTGGGAATTCCAAAACCTACTACCCAACTTAAGTTGTCTTGTATGTAAACCACCACAGTTTGGGTGATCAACAAGACAATAGTGAATGTGGTGTAGTACCAGTTGAAGAAGCTGTTGATTCCTTTTCTTCCTTGGTCGGTTGTCGGATCAAACTGGTCCACGCCGAAGGGGATACTGCACGGCCTGATTCCGCCGGTGCCGATCGATAAGAACCCGAGCCCGAGGAGTAAGGAACCGAGCTGAGTTTGGCTCGGACCTCTGCAATGTCCCAAGTCTAGCTCTTGTTTTGTGCATGCCGAAGGATGAAGCTGTGGTAACCAGGCTGTTAAAGTCACTGTTGCCATTCCCTGTTTGTCATACATCCGCAGAAAACATATATATATAATTAGAAACATGGCAGCAATTAATGTCTAAATAGATTTAATGCGGAGTTTAGGAGTCTATTTACTCAATTTTTTTTACTATAGTATTTTCTTTTAGAAAAATAATTTTTGCTTAATTTTTTTTTTTTTTTAAATTTATGAACCAAAAAGACTATTTTGTAGATATATAGATTATACGTTAATGGTGCGTATATATTGATAACAATAGTGAATACATATAAAATATATTGTTACTTTCTCTTTTGTATGCAACATCATGTTATATGAACCTTCAGTGATGCATGACATAACATTAGTGGTATTTATTATATTTTTAATAATAAAAGATTTCCATGCTCACAAGCGTAGAAGACCACCATGATGAGGGGACAATTAATACATTTGTCCTATTTGGCCCTTTGTTGGAATTCTAGCATGAGATATTTGACGTATACTGATGACATTGCTGGCTGCTATAAAATCATTGACCATGCTTGGTAGCCTTGGGCAAACATAAATGAGGGTAATTGGCTAGCATGGTTTATTGTTTTTTTACTTTTCCTATCATTTTGTGATAATTTGCTTTGCCCTAATTTGTTGGTGCTTTAAAGTTGTGTACAAGTCAAGGTCTCTGCTACCTTGTATCTTATGTCGTGGTCATTCTTTATGCACTTTTCAAAAATATCAATTTAATTAATCTAAGCCTTCTTTCTAAATAATTATAAGTGTTAGTAATAAGTGTGTGTTTAGAATATCATTACGTCAATTTATCTTTATTTATTTTTTGTTTGTGTAAGTTTCAATTACCAATGATAGAGAAATTTCCCATAGTGTTTAAATAGAAAGTATGCGTAAAAGTAGAACTTTACGGTAATTCTAAATTTTTTTTACAATGTTTAGATAAAATATGTGTGTGTGGTCCAAGCAAAATAACAGATTGATCAAGAGATTTACATTTATTGGCTTTAATTATGAAAACTTGGTACGTGTACAATCGTACACCTAATAAATATGTCGTGGTCCAAACAGTCAAACCTATTCATTTGTCGTCTTTGGTCATTAATTACCTCTCCCCACGAGACGTATAATAAATCTAAAAACCGAGTTAATTAACGCATATGTCAACAGTACTAGCGTTGAAGGGCTTGCAGAAATATTATCTGACTTTATATGCACGTATTGATCTCTATGGTGTCGGTGCACCTTTCATTTGGACTCATCTAGAGTTAATCACTGACGCTACCACGAGGGGCGGTGGTGTTTGAAATTATTTTTGTTTTTATTTTTTTATACGTTTTTTGAGAAAGAAAAAATAAAAATAATTTTAAAACGGTGTTTGACACAATTAAAGATAAAAAATAAAAATGAAAATGATTTTTTAGTTTAGCATAAGATGGCAAAAAAATGAAAAATGACTTTTAGTCATTTTTCATTTTTTATTTTCGTTTTTTTCCTCTATTGAGTACAGAGAGAGACATTAATGAGTTTTTTTTTATACTGAAAATAATCTCTTAATAAAACTACCAAACGCATTTTTAAATATGATTTCTGTCTGAGATTGAAAATGTTTTCATTTCTATTTCATATAAAAAAACAAAATAATTTTGAAACGAATTCCAAACGTATCCATGCTTTCACAATTATTGATATATAGTATGCAAATATGTATGTGTGTGTGTATATATATGAACAATAGTGACACTGATGCTGACCCATTCCAAACTAATTTCTTTAACAAAATACCAAAGCAATTAACAAATAATGTAACCCACATATGGTTTCTTTGTTTTTTACCTTCTTTTTATTAGTCACAATGTAAGGAATGATTTTCCTCGTGATTAATAATATTATTATCAATTTTTATCTTAAAAAATAATAAACTCATTATATTAATTGCTTATGAAGGAAAAAAAAAAGGAAAAAAAGAAGAAGAAGCAGAGATATGAATGATCATTCAAGGAAAGACTTTTTACTTTTGTTCCCAATTATAGCCATATATAATTATTTCCAGTACTCTACATAAAAGAGGCCCGACCACCCACTAAACCACACGCAACACGTTAGTGCGCCACTCGCTAATTAATGAGTCATAATTTCCAACTCTTGAACGTGTCAAACTAACTAAAAATATACGCATCATATACTAGGAAGGAAACAGACTGGACGGCTTAATTAATGTAGTATATATTTACGTACGTGTCTTTTCTTATATTACTAATTTTTTTGGAGTAATTCCTGAAGTGGCACTTCATTAATTATCACATTTAGTTTTTTTTTTATTTTTTATTTTTTATAGGAAAATCACATCTAGTTTTATGTCTTGATACTAAACCAATTATATAAGTCCGACTTTACCTTAATTACTTGAAAAAATTGGGTGGTGATCTAATAAAGAAAATCACTTTAATTAGATTTAAACAAAAAGGGCAAACTGTAATTTAATTATTATTATTATTATAAGGAAACAATTTTTTAAGGCATTAATTAACACATCTGACATTTCTCAACTAATTTTAGCAATTGACAAGTTAACCCTTAAAGTTTTAAATTTTTAAAAGTTTACTTTCTAAATTTAACAAAGCGTTTCACAATAACTCTAAATTTGAGACGAAAACGTCCTCACATATGACAAGTTAGCCCTTAAAGTTTTAAATTTTTAAAAGTTTACTTTCTAAGGGCACGTTTTGTATGTTGATTCAAGTTTTTAATTCGAATATATAACTTTATAGGAGAACTTTTTACTGTAGTAAAAAGTTAGATGTGACTGTTTTTAAGTGTTTTTTACCGTAACAAAACTCGAATTCTAAACTCGAATCGGTATAATGAACGAGATTTAAATTTAACAAAGTGTTTCACAATAACTCTAAATTTGAGACGAAAACGTCTTCACATACATTATGTGAACTCGTTTGAAGGGAGAAGCTAAAATTTCATATGACAATTGGAGCGCACCATGTCACATCCACATTAAGATTTTTTTTTTTTTTTTTGGTGCTGAGAGTGTTACTATGTTAGTACCTTCGAAATTACCGCAATTAAAATTTTATAAAACAACTTGTCAATTTCATCAAAGTTAGAGGGTAAAAGTGTCAAAAATCCAACTTTTTTTTTAAACCGTTGAAATAATAATAATAATAATAATAATAATAATAATAATAATAATAATAATAGAGAGAGAGAGAGAGAGAGAGAGAGAGAGAGAGCTCTTATCATGACTAGCTATTTGTGTTTGAGTAACTATACATACCGAAAGAGAAGCGAAGGAAGCAAAGCCAATAGTCCAGAAGCGGCCGGCGTAGGCATCGGAGATGAAGGCTCCGACCAACGGAGCGAAATTGTTGACGCCACTCCATATGTTCATGATGTTTGAGGCTGATACCTGATCCATGTGAAGCTCTGTCGTCAAGTACACCATAAAGTTTGCCAACAACCCGAATGACGCCAATCTCTCGAAAGTTTCATTTCCTGAAAACCAAATTAACCAAACAAACAGGAAAAAAAAAGTGCAAGTTAATTAAAAACAAAAATTAGGCTAATTAGCTGTATATTGTTGTTATGTCCTACATAATATCTCTACGAAGCTACAACCGCATATACATCATTCTAGATAAGTTAATTTAGCCAGAAAAGCTTTAATATATACAAAAAAGCGTCCAATTCCGTTAGATGAAGAAAGAACTTCTTTTTCGGGTGTTCGAATATATATATATATATATATATTGATTTAAACTTTAGAGAGAATTATAAGAATATATTAGATGAAGATGAAGAACAATAAGACAGACCTAAGATGAAAGAAATGGCCCTCCATCCACCGGTTTTTATTTTGGCTTCATGTGAAATGTTCTTCTTCTCTGGTTCATTATGGACCATCTCATCAGCTGGTTCTGAGGAAATGTTTCGGAAGCAGCAAGACCAAGATGAGCTAATAATTGGCTGCTTCATCTTATAACTCTCACGGACCACCTTAATTTGCAGTACTAGTGTGTGTGTGTGTGTGTATATATATATATAATTATGTATATATATACGCGTATATATACGGTTTATCTTGTAAGTGGTGAGATTCAATCTTGCACACGTTTCTCAAGATACCGTATAATATATATGTGAGTGTATATATGTGTGTGAGAATAATTAAAGGTGGTCATGTGATATCTCCTGTTTATATCTCAGCATCGACGCATATGATTGCATGGCTGACGAAATGTGGGCGCGTAGCTAGTAAACGCATTGTTCTTGTGTAGTTAACAGTCTCTTTCCCTACCAATGTTTCACACTCGTGACAATACAAAGAATAGTATCATCACAAATCACAATCACTATTAATAATAAGTGACGGTTAAATCAATCCGTTGTCTTATATGCCACTTGAGTTAGAGTACGTTTGGTTCATGAATTAAAATTATAATATTAGAATCATTTTTAATTTACGTGTATTTTTTATGAGAAAAAATACTGTAACGAACCATGAATCATAATTCGAATCAAGGTACGAATCCCCCAACCAAACAACCCCTTAGTGGTTAATTACGTCGGGAGTGTATGTGTGTATTTATTATTTATCAGGACTTGAATTCTTATGGTTTCATTTTTTTTTTTTGGGGTAAAATATGAGTTATAGCCCTCGTTACCGCATAAAAAAAAATAACGATCTAATAAATATATATAAGCTGGGGTGATGATATTGTTGAAGGCACTGTGTAATACGAATTTTGTGCTGATATACATGTTTACCTATCTCTTATTATTTATTACCTAACTGATCTGTTCCCCGCTCTTTTTTTTTTTTTTTTTCCTTTTTTTGGAGTTTATCTTTCCTAGTTTGTTGGATTTTTTTAATCATTGTTATATAGTGTTTTTTTGACTTTTTGAGCCGAACTGTATCATTTATTAAACCAAACGCAATCGGTACACTGGCTTGTGAAATTTAGATCATATTCATTATAAATGTTAATGTTAATAATATATGCGGTACTAAATTTACCATTAAACATAATATATGGCAAATTTAATGCAAAAATAGTATTATATTGAAGAATAATTTTCTATTCAAAAACTAAAATTTAGCATTAACACACTAATATAAAATTGTATTGGAGATCACTGCAACAAAAAGGGTTATTAGCGACGATAAACATCGTTGCTAAAATTACAGTATTAGCGACGACATGTCATCGCCAAAAAGAAATCAAATTTTTTGAACGACTTGTCGTCGCATTAACTATTGCGACGACATGTTGTTGCACAAAATTTAAATATTTGCGACGACATGTCGTCGCTAATAGTTAATGGCGCCAGATTGTCCATTATTTGCGATGACATGTCGTCGCAAATATGGATACGTATAGCTAGCGGTGACGTGGCCAAAAAAAGGCGGAAAATTTGGTGGGCACAATTTGTCACTACGTCATGACTTAGATGTCATGCATATTGAGAAGAATGTGTGTGATATTTTGGTGGGCACAATTCTAAATATTGACGGAAAAAGTAAGGATACAAATAAGGTGAGGATTGATTTACAAGATATGGGGGTACATAAGGAGTTGCATTTGTATAAAGATGGTGACCGTTGGATGAAACCACATGCAGCGTACACATTGACTCCGACGGATTGTAAAAAGTTTTGCGATTTCTTAAAGTCATTACGGTTTCTTGATGGGTTTGCTTTAAATCTTCAGAAAAACGTGATCGATGGAAACAATAAACTTACTGGGTTAAAATCACATGATTGTCATGCCATAATGCAGCGATTGTTGCCATTTATGAAGAAAGAAATTGTCGATACAATCACCGAATTGAGCAACTTCTTTCAGTTGATATGTTCCAGGACATTGCGGATGAGTGATTTAGAAAGAGCTTAACATGATATTGTTATTATTTTATGCAAGTTAGAAATAATTTTTCCTCCAACCTTTTTTGATGTAATGGTTCATTTAGTAATGCACTTGCCAGAAGAAGCCATTCGAGGATGACCTGTTCATTTGAGGTGGATGTATCATTTCGAACGATTCCTTGGTTCATTAAAAAAAATGTGAGGAATCGGGCGAGACCGGAGGGTTCGATTGCCGAGGCTTATATTGTCAACGAAGCACTGACTTTTTGTTCAATGTATCTAAGTGGCATTGAGACAAGATTTAATAGACTTGAGAAAAATTGGGTAGACGACGCAGATGGTAATGTGAAGAAAATATCTATTTTCCAAACTCGATATCATCCAATTGGGAAGATGATCTCGATCACATTAGACAACCAGTTACAAAGTAAGGCCGAGTGGTACACATTACACAATTGTTCAGAAATCCAACACTACATTGTGTAAGTATTATCTCACTATTTTATTACATAATTGAGTCACATGAAATGATAACACTAACTCAAATTTATAATTTCAGTGAACACAAGAAATAACTTAATGATACTGGTCGAACCAGATCATTAGACGAAATTCAATTCAGGGAATCTCCAAAATGGTTCTGTCGTAAGGTATTACACTATAGTCATAATTTATAATTTCGAATACTCTGGCTATATAGAACTTCAGTTGATATTGTTTACTGTTGACAGACGTCCAATCTGCAAAAGTGGAACACGCCAGATGTGACCGCACAGTTGATTTCGCTTTCGTGTGGTTCAAGCTTTTCCGTTAAAAGCTACTCCAGCTGTGTGGTGAATGGAGTCAAGTTTCTGACATACAGTCGGTATATCAATCGAAATACCCAGAATAGTGGTATTTGTGTTCGCGAACCAGATAACCAGACATGTTCGGGATGTCTGTGAGCCTTTCCACGATGCCTGGAAGGACATGGACATCCAACATAAGAGAGAGATTCAGCAGCGCCTGCTGGTATAAATTATTCAACTTCATTGTTTTTTAATTTAATCTAAATTTCAATATAATAAAATCATTTAACATATTTATATTGTATTACAGGAATGGTTCAACCTCGATTATGACCGCGACGATGGTATACTTAGGTCTGTGGTCGACAGGGCGGTTGTAAAATGTTATAAGGATTGGAAAAGACCTTTATGACTATTTTAAAGATCTTGGTGGTTCGCAAAATGAGAGTGCAGTTAGGGCCCACCCTCACAAAAACCTCAGAAATCCAGATCACTGGGGTCGTTACTGCGATAGATTCATGTTCGACAAGTTTCAGGTAATTGAATCTCTTTCATATTTTATTTTATTATATATAATAAAGGTTAATTTTACTAACACTGAATGTAATCATAAATAGAAAAAGTCGGGGATCAATAAACTTAATTGTAGCAACCAAAAGTGGTCAAGTTTTCATGGTCGGCTACCGTACTCCCAACATCGTGAGAAAAAAGTAAGTATTCGTTAATAATTTATTCAATAGAAATGTTAATTTGGTAATTGATTACACTATATTATATACATTCAAACTACTATGCAGTCTACCATAGGGACTCAACAACCGATGTCCCTCATCAATAACTGGGGGGACATGCATCATCGTTGGGATACTTGAGTTAATCCCTAAGCCAAGTAGACTTTTGTAAGTATACTCGTAATGTTTAATTATATTTTTTTATTTAAATCGCATTATGTATTTAATTATTTTTCTTATAATATTTGTAGCAACGGATGGAGGAAGAAAGAGAAACGTAGATCCAAACGCAGTCTGCTACTTCTAGATCATCTACAGTAGGAATAGTTAACGAGGAGGATATTATAGAGCAGTTTCTGGGCACCCGCAGAGGACACAAGACTGGAGTGGGTCACACATTCCCACAAAAGTTTATCGAGGGGATGTGTTGTCATCTGACTCACGCTCGGTAAGATCTTCTACGACACGTTCTGACCCACACGTAGAAGCAAAACCTCCAGTTGTACGAGAGCGTCAGAATGATGCATGATTTCATCACTCAAATGCACCCTAACATGACTTTCCCAGCGGTTCATGTGCCGTATGTCCGTCCAGGTCATCTGCTTTCGAATCCTTCTGATGATAACGACGATGATTCTAATGATGCTGTGAAATTTAGGAGATTAGATTTTTATTAATGTAACAATTTATATTTCCACACATTTCTACTATAATTACAATTTTATTTTATTAATTATTTTTTACAATAATAATTTTTATTTATATTTTTTATTATTTATTTCCTTTATTTAATTTTTTTATTATAATATCATGAATTAGATTTAATATTGGGTTTAAATATATAGTAATATACAACATTAATTAGTAAAATAATAAAAAATAAATAATTGATTAAAATATTATTTGTGACGACAAATGTGGTGGCAAAACTAATAGCCACGTTAGCTAAATCTGCATATTTTGTGACGACTTAATTCAAAAAATATCGTTGTAAAAACTCAATGCCATGTCATCTTAACGATGTAACTGATAAAATAATTGTAGTGACTCATTTACGACGATTGTCGTCGTAAATATAATTGTGACGACTGTTTGTCGTCGTAAAAATTGTTTTTGCGACGAATCAATTGCGGCGACAGGTTTGTGATGACAAGTAATCGCTAAAACTTCATTTACGACAACTTTACATTTGTTGCAATTACTTTTCATCGTCACTAATAGCCATGTTTTCTATAGTGGATCTTATTGTCATACTGATACTATATAGACAACAAAAACATAAAAATAAACATCAAACAAACAAAAGAAACGCCAACTTTGTTTTTTAGTTGGAAAAAAAGAAGCGTCGGCTTTGTTTGTACAAAGGATTAAAAACATTGTTTTAAATATTATGAGCAGCAAGTTGTAAACCAAAAATAGGAAGAACAAAACTTCAACAAAAAAAGAGGAAATACAAAACCCGTTACTGAGAAAAAAAAGAAAAATGGAATTGGAAAAACAATATTATTGTTTTTACAACATCAAGAGCTAGAAGATTTTTTTAAGGAAAAAAAAAGTAAACAAAAAGAAAGAGTTTGAATTTAGGTCCCTTAAATAGGAAGTCAATGCTCGAATCATGATTTTTTTCTTGCTCTGTCTGTTCATCTATTGACAAATGACAATAAATTAATAAAAAAATATATTAAAAAAAAATACACCGAACCCAACTGCAGAAAGGCACTAATATTATAAAGAAAA